GGCGGCTCCGTGGCCATGCGGGGCTGCTGCGCCGTTGGGATTATTGCCCGTTAATGCAGGCAGGATATTTTTAAACCCTCCCAAAATAGTCTGGGAGTGTGGATGTCCCTGCAAACCCCGGGGATGGGGAGGATGGGGAGGACAGGGAAGATGGGGAGGATGGGGATCACTCCCCTGCGGGAAGCAGAGCCCCTCTAGGGACCCCCCAGCCCCCCTTTGGACACAGGTCAAGGATGCTTAAAAGCAATTGAGCTAAATGTGGTGTTTTAAGCTGGGTACCCAGAAGGATCAGTGATGGTAACAACAAGGGCAAAGCTCTTGCCTTCTCCCCTAAATGGAGATTTTTGGGGGGAACCTACTGGAGCCGTGGTCCTGGGGCAATGGCTTTGCTGTCACGGTGCCCCAGGGGCTCCTGGCTGCTGGGATGAGGCGCTAAGGAGGGAGGAAAACATGTACCTTTAACAGGGTGGGCTGCTCGGGTTAAATGATGCTCCAAACCCAAACACTGGCTGCAGGTGGTGATGGGGAGACTCGAGGAGCAGCTGCCCAGGTGAGCCCTGGGCTGGCCCTCCTTGGCACCCTGCGGCGGAGGCAGGAGGGGATTTCTAGCCAGAAAGAGCTGTGAATAGCACACGAACGAGCGATGTGCCACGAATAACACTTCTCTTCGCTGTCAACCTCGACGTGAGTCGCAGACAGGGTGTCTTTGCCCGCAGCCAGGCATTACAAGGAGCAGGAGGGGCAAGCCCTGCAGCCAGAGGGGACCTTTTGGGCCAGAAGGGGTTGCTGCATTTCGTTTTCCTTGCCATGGGATCCCCAGATGAAGCACAGGCTGGTTTATGGCTCCTTGCACCCGGGATGGATGTTGCCCACGTCGCTCAACGCCTTCTCCCTGGGGAGGGTTGCAAAAGGAATGGCCCCGTAACGGTGTCTCCCTGCCTGCGGCCACATTCGGGGGCAGCAAAGCCCCTTTCTCACGGCCGGGCTGGACAGCACGGAGATTTGCTGACGTCGGTTGCCTCCCTGTGGTCATAAACCCCACTTTTTAAGGGAAAAAAACCCAATAGTGCAGCAACGTCGTGTTCCCAGCCGTGCAAACCTGTCGCCCTCCCTGGGGTGGGGACCGTCTCTTTAGGGCATCGCCAGGAGGATGCTGGAGAGTGGGGAGAGCAAAACCTGTCGGGCATCCTCCATGGGACCAGCATCCCCACTGTGACCCGGTGGTGCCGCTGGAGCCCTGCCTGTGTTTTGGGTGGGCAGCTGAGCCCGGCGGATGCCTCTGAAAGGCCCCGGTCACGAGCTCGGCTATCTTTAGCCGGCGGTATTTATGTTACAAGGCAGTGGCGTGGCGGCCGCCGGGCAGCGTAGGAAAGGCATCAAAGGGTGGTGGAGGCAGGAGGGGGCTGCGCCGGGACACCACATGGAGGAGCACTGGGTGCTGCCCCCCACCCCCCGAGAGCCGCTGAGCCCCCGGGCGAGGACGACTCCAGAGGAGGAAGGCTCCCGGGTAGGGCAGCTGGAGCGGGTACGTATCCGGGTGGAAGAGCAGTCGTTTTGGGTGGAGAAGACCCTGCTGGTGGAGAGCAGCGAGTACTTCCGTGCCCTCTTCCGCTCGGGCATGAGGGAGAGCACGCAGGAGGAGATCGGGCTGGGGGAGCTGAGCGCGGCCGGGTTCCTCGCCATGCTGCGGGTGCTGGCGGGCGAGAGGCCCATCCTCGGCAGCGAGGAGATCTTCCAGGCGGTTGAATGTGCCGCCTTCCTGCAGGTGAAGCCCTTGGCCAAGTACCTGATCCACTCCATCAACTCCGACAACTGCATCTTGCTCTATCAAGCCGCCGCCATATTCGGTCTCCTGGACCTCTTCCACTGCGCCGCACTCTACATCAGGGACAGCTACGCCGAGCTGGAGGAGTACCTGGACTGCCTCCCCGATGACCTGCTGGCCTACGTGGAGACCCTCCTGCCCAGCACCTTCGTGGCGGTAGGAGCCCACACGCCCACCTTCGAGTTCCTGGAGGACCTCTCCAGGACCATCTGCTACCTGGATGAGGAGACCAACACATGGAGGACCCTCTCCTGCCTGCCGCTGAGCGCCAGCACGTTCCTAGCCGGCATGGCAACCATGGATAACAAGATCTACATCGTGGGTGGTGTCCACGGGGCCAGCAAGCAGGTGGTGGAGAGCAGCTTCTGCTACGACGCCGATGCCAATGCCTGGAGTGAGTTCCCCAGCCCTCACCAGCTGCGCTACGATGTCAGGCTGGTGGGCCACGAGGGCTACCTCTACGCCATCGGTGGGGAATACGAGAAGATCTCACTGAAGTCTGTGGAGAGGTACGACGTGGCCTCCAGCACCTGGACGTTTGTCTCCGACCTGCCGCAGCCAAGCGCGGCGGCACCCTGCGCCCAAGCCATGGGGCAGATCTTCGTTTGCTTGTGGAAGCCGCTGGACACCACTGTCATCTACGAATACGAGACCCAGCAAGACGCGTGGCTTCCCGTCACCGAGCTCAAACGGCACCAGAGCTACGGGCACTGCATGGTGGCCCACCGCGACAACCTCTACGTCATGCGCAACGGCCCCTCGGATGACTTCTTGCGCTGTGTCATCGACTGCTTCAACCTGACCTCGCGGCAGTGGACCGCCCTGCCTGGGCAGTTCCTGAACAGCAAAGGAGCCCTCTTCACCGCTGTCATCAAGGGTGACACCGTCTACACCGTCAACAAGATGCTGACGCTCCTCTACTCTGTGGAAGAAGAGACCTGGAGGTCCAAGAAGGAGCGGGCGGGCTTCCCACGCAGCGGGTCCCTGCAGACCTTCCTCCTGCGGCTGCCGAGGCGTGACCACAACATCGCGTCGTAGGTGACCCCCCGTCCCACGTCGGGATGCTCTCCTTGCACGTGGCCTTGGCTCTGCATCCGCCACTCGCCCGGCCTTCTCTCCGCCTCCATGGAGCTGTGCTCAGCTCTAGGGACGTGCCACGTTGGACCTCGGAGGGGACGCTAAACCCTGCCAGAGGGAAAGGGGCTGCAGGCAGGGGCTGGCGGTTTTTTCTGCACGGGCTGTATGCAGAGTCCTACCAGACGTGCGCTCACGAGCCAACTGCGTGCAGGGCTTCGTGCCTTCTGCAGAGGACAGACACCAGAGAGATGCAAACGCGGGTTTTATTTATTCTGACCGCACTCTGGAGGTCTGCACATCCCACCTCCTCTCTGCTCCGATGGGAAATCGTTCATTATATCCCGGAATTAAAAGGAAACCTATAAAACCCGCTGTGTTTTTCATTACTTTTGGGTTTGTTTTTTTTTTTCTCCCCCCTTCTGAAGGAAAATACCTCCTAACGGGGATCCACGTCAAGGCTTGCTCCTACCCACTGAATGCTTTCTCAGCTGCAGCTCCGTTTCAGAGCCGTACGTGGGAGTGTGGTTCTCACGCAGCCCCACGCTCCCCGGGGAGATCTCCACGGCCACTCCCGGCCCT